ATATGTTGCCCGACGTTATTTGGCAACTGTAGGAAAGCAAAAGTAGTTTTGTTTATGTTTGACTCCTCCAGGGCTAAAAAGTACCTGATATATATTCATGTGCTTTTAGTCAAAGTAAACTATGCTACAATTTGTCATCCAGGCTAACACATAAGTGAGACACTCCTATGTTTTCTACAGTGTATTTTTTGATGCTCTGACAGCTCCCTTTCACCTATCTAAAATGACATCAATTTCTGTGTTTTCTACCATTCAAACTTTCCCAGTGTCACATTCCCAAATCTAGGCACCCCATGTCTATCAAGAAAACTGAAGTCATTAGATTCACAGTATGTGTTTTCATTTTGCGATATTTTGCAATAGATGATGTCTCCACTAACTTTCCAAATGGCTTTCACGGATATTTTCTGGTATGTTTATCCAGTAAGTAGTTCACTTGAGAAGACAGCCTGCCTTTCTGAAGTAGTACACATAGCTGTGGCATGGAGAAAGTGAGGAATTCAGTACGCAAGGGAAACACAACGGGCAGGAGTCCGGGGTATCACTTGGGTAGTGCAGACCTTGCCTGAACTGCATTGTTTTCTAGATCCAGTTTCTCAGCAGCTCACTGTTGAGAATTTTCAACATATTGTTTTCATATTATCCTTTTTGGTCTGCCTGTAATTATTAAATTTCACTTCTGTGCCACCTCTTTCTACAATCTTACCTTTCCTTTATATATATTTGTTTTAAAGATGGGGGCTTACTATGTCATCAGCCTCTTGAACTCATCGAGTAGCCTAGGTGAGTCTCAAACTCACAAGGATCCAACTGCCTCAGTGCAGGGATTGCAGGGAGACACCACCCTGCCTGGCTCCAATCTGACACACAAGTTTAAACATCCATGATGTCTCTTCTATGAAAAACCATCAAAATAAATAAATAAATTGTAGAGAAAAATAAAGACAATAGAAAGTAAGGAGATAGACCTTTTTTCATAAGGGAAGAGGACTAAGGCAAGGAGGTTGGGGGATTAAAAAAAAGAAAGATGTGCCATGTATATGTACCAACTCCCCACAAGGGATGTAATCATTGCGTACTGTAAATGTACCAATAAAATATTTTCCTTAAAAAATAAAACAAAGCTCCTCCCAGAAACCTCTCTAATATTTCACAGTACTTTGTTCATACTTGCATTCTGTTTTCCACCATTACTTCTTTATGAAGGCTACAGTTTACCAGTGTCCTAACCATTGATCCTCTGGGTGTTTACATTTATTTGAGTCTGTGTTCTCAGCCCTTTCCTTGGTGTAGCCGGATAATTCCCTTCCTGTGATTTGGAAGCATGGCTCCTCCGTTGGTCTCTAGTGAGACCCTGTCTTTGCACAACAGCTCCCTCCTCAGCCCCCTCTCGGCCCCCACAGGGAGTTTCCCCAGGAGTCCACCTTTCTTCTCTCTGTGTTTCCTGGTGTAGTTAAATTGTCATCTATATGATTAGCATTACAAAACTGACACCTTCCCCATTACTCTGGCTACAGGGCATGAAGATGAGCCCTCCAGTATGTCAGGAACCACTCTTTGCACCTGTCCTCCTCACCTCTCAATTCACATTGCTAATAATGAGGTGAAAGTGGTCTGGGGCAAGGGCACTAATTCTTCCACTGTTCAGTTTCAAATCTTCACACACACACACACACACACACACACACACACACACATCCGTACTTCTTCCTCTTGCAGTATCTTCTTCAGGCTGCAGGGCTTTCTCAGATCATCCCTTCACAGTAGTGTCTATACCAGTCCCCCTTGAAGACAACTTTAAAAGGAATTTATAGAGAAAATTCACACACTCCAAAAATGCCCCAGTTCAGAGTTTTGCACTTTCATTCACTTCTTCTACTCTGCACATCCTTGCAGGCTCATTTCTGAGCACGTCATGTATAGTATTTCCTAGTTCTACTGGAGAGAAAGAACTCCTTCCTTTCCCCTAAATCCCAGCATACTTGGTTTGTGCATCTATGGGGCTGCCTGACATGTGAACTATACTGTACTTATATTCAAAAGTATTGCTCTTTTTAAAACTATAATTGTGAGCACCTGGAAAGCGATAACTTTGTCATTAACTTTTTCTTCCAATTTAGACCCACAACGATGCTATACACATTGTAAGACTTTCAAAACTCATCCTAATTAAAAGTCAACTGAGATAGGACTGAAGCAAGGCCTTGGGGCACAGGTAAAATTCAAGAGGTAGGTGTTCAAATGCAGGGTCTCTGAAATTCTTTCTGAAAGGCTTTAAGCATATTATAAAAAGAAAAAAAGATAAGATGAGACTGGTGAAGGAACCATAAAGAGTTCTGCACGCTTAACTTATCTTAAATTTCCAAAGACTCACATTTTTAGTTTTGATGTGTGCATTTTTGCTTTCCTACCTTGACATTTTAATCCAACTTGAAGGATCAAAATGGGACGACTGTGTAGTACACACAGATTAGTTATTCCGTAATGCGGGAGAACCAACAAGGTCCTAGATTAGTAGTGGGGAACCTACGGTGTATGTGCTATTTTTCTTTTAAGACAAAACATGTTAAGGTATAAAGTTTTTTATATAAGCTAAAAGCTTGATGTTGGCACCTTGTGATAAACAAGTGAGTTTTGGGTTGTGGCTTGGGCACTTGTCCCCACAAGATTTGTCATCATTGTTCTAGATGCTCATAATGATAGCGCATGCCAGCATTTTCTAATGCCTTAGCTTTTCACAGCTACCTCAGACTTTCCAATGCAAGCAAACTTCAGCAAATATATTTTTATGTGTACTTGTAAATTTCTCTAGTTATGTATGACATTTAGAATATTTAAAATTTCCATTGGGGGTTTTCATTTTTTTTGAAATTTTTGTCTTAAAGAAAACTGCCAAAAAAAAAAAAAAAGAACAATAGCAAAATACAAACAAAAAAAAAAGCAAGGACATTAAAAAAAAAAAAGCAAGGACATTAAAAATGGTACAGGGTTTTAAACAAGTGACAGGGGTATTTAATGTTAAGTCAAACAATCAAACTTATAGCCAGACATGGTGGCACACATGTGTAATCTCAGCATTCTGGGAAACTGAGGCAGGAGGACTACAGCTTTGAGTCCATCTGGGGCAACATAATCATTTAGCAAAAACCCGACTCAAAATTTAAAAAATTAAAAAGAGCTGTGGATATAGCACAGTGCAAAGGCTTTGGGTTCAACCCCCAGTACCATCCCCCCAAAAATCAAACTTTTATGAGATTTTTTTTCATTTATAAGACAGAGTGACCAACCCCAATTTGAAGATGTTACATGAAAACATCATATGGGGAGTAATCGTATTTTAAGCAATGATTTTAATATATTATTGTACATTACTTTGAGTGGACATGTCCTCAACAAGGTGCTTGGCTGTTTCAAATATCAAAACAGCTTTGGTGACAATAATCAGAAACCAAGGACTTCCTTACGTGTGCTTTTCTTTACCGCTTTAGAATCATAAGGCTACTTCATGACGAATCTTTCAGCAAGTTCTGAATTAAGATATTATAGATCTGTACAGAGGGGGAGCTATTAGGGAAAATGACGTAGGGAATGTGACAGTAAAGGCAAGAAAGCAAAGCATATGTTCTTTTAGACAGCTTTTTGTTTTCTTCTTTGTTTTTTTGTTTGTTTGTTTGTTTGTTGTCTTTTTGAGACAGTGTCTCCCTATGCAGTTCAGGCTGGCCTGGAGCTCACTTTGTAGCTCAGGCTGTTCTCAAACTCGCCAACTATTCTCCTGCCTCAGCCTCCTGAGTGCTAGAATTACAAGCATGCACACCACGCCCAGCCTTTTAGACAGTCTTAACTAGCTACCAATCAAATTGATAATGGACAAAATGAAAAACAATTGAGTGACTTTGTTTAACTTTTCCAGAGACTTAAATTAAGGAATTTATCCACACAAACATAACAACAGAGGTGCATGCAGTTTGTGAAACATACCTTTGACAAACTTACTGTTTGCAATAAACTTACATTCACTAAAGTATATAGTCATTTTTTTTTTCTTTCCATTGTACTTTTTTAAGGTAAATGCAAAATGTGAACAGTAGAGGTAAAAAGTTCCATCCACTTAATTTTTGTTTGGCATGTTTATAGTCAGGTAAACACAGGCTATGAGAAAAATTACTTTTATATTTCTTTACAAAAATACACTAGCGGGACTCAACATTTGCTTACTGTAAAATTCAGCCTTTATCCTGTCAGGCAAAGTAATTATGAAAGCAAAACAAATCCACATTGTCTAATTAGGTCATTAAAAAGCATAAATGCGTCATGGAAGCTTTTCTCCTTGCCTAAGACATAAAGCAAGACAATGAAAACAGTCTGGTAATATAGAAAGGTTTAGAATTTGTTTCTTTTCAAAAGTAATAAGTCCTTTCATCTTTCTACTTCCCGTAGATGAAGACAGCTAATTTAGAGAAAGCTAATTAGTTTGGTTTATACCCTGATTATATTTCAAAATATTTAACCAAAAGTAGGAAGATAGAACGGAAAAAGTACATGGAAAACTTATCAAAGGAAGTAAAGAAAATCAAGAGTGTGTTGCTGATCAAAATGCATTCTGCAGTAATAAGATGAATACAAAATCTACATTCATATAAACACAAGAGATCTGGAATACCAGGAAGTTCCTAAGAATATACTGGCATCGCCTTTAGGGTTTGAAATCTAGATTTTAATCACAGCTAACTTAAATAAAAACAAATGGCATGATTATTTTGTCATTTCCTTCCTCTTATTATTATTTCTCAAGTTTTAGAAAACCTATGGCTCGGGGCTGGGGATTTAGCTCAGCAGCACAGGGTCTGCCTGGCAAGCTCAAGGTCGTGAGTTCGATTCCTGGTACCGGAAAAAAACAAAAAACAAAAAACAAAACAACAAAAAAACAACAAAAAAAAGAAAACCTATGGCTCCAAGCATTAAGAAAGAAAATGTGAAAAAGGAAAGGAAAACAAACTTACCTGTGACCCTCGAGGCCCACGCTTGTGGTCCCATTCTGAATGTCCCATGAGCTAGAAAGATAAAATGATAATTACGGTAGGTTACATAATTATTTTACATGATAAGTATTTTATTCTTTAAAAGTATGCTTTTGAAATTTATGTTCTCATTGTAAGTTATTAAATAGCCACTTTGAATAAATCAACATATCAGAAGAAATAATCTTTTCCTCGGGTATTATTTCAACCTCCTGTTATTTTGAAGATATTTTAATTACAGTATGTGATAATAAGACTCTACTAATGTGTACTTTACTGTTCTTCATCAGGGACATTCTAGATAGATGTCAAATCCTGTAAAGCCTTATTTGCATGTCAGTAGCTTTCAGTTTATTAGGAAAATATGGTGATTAATCCAATAGTATAATTTAACCTGTCATAAATAAGAACCAGAAGGCCTAAATAATTTTTAATTCTGTTTGGATAATTTCACAAAACATGAGAGATCTTTTTGTTTGTTTGTTTTGTTCTGTTCTGTTTGAGAGTTCTAAAGAATAAAACTATTTAATACAACATCTACCCCTAAAGTCACAAATTTAAATTTTTCATAACCAATAATATAAAATATCAAGTTTTTCCTATGGCTGTAATACTCCTGAGCTACTTTGATTAGAAAGCAGGATATTTATCTATTGATAACAACATTTACAAGAGTCTTAAAGAAATAAGAGGCATCAACTGAGAAGAATGAGACTTCATTATCTGTCCGGTGTTTTCACTATTCACTAGAAGCAACTGACAAACTGTTTACAATTTATAATCTGTAGTACTAACAAGATGGACTACAAAATAGATTTACATATATATTCCTGACTTTTCTGTATACACGACCTCTTAGCAGATATAATAACAAACAAGGAAGAATAAAAATACTTTGAACATTATCAAAACATTTGACAACTGTACATAGAATTAGAAAACCTTTTTTATTGGTGAACACATAATGTTACTGATTCAAATGATTAAGTGTTCAGTTTTACCAAAACAGTTTATAATTTGACTTAATTCTAATCAAAAGCTAATAGAATTTTTAAATATAAAATAAACTTGATGTGAAATAACAATAATGAGTTATATCAGGTGAGTAAATGTAAGTATCTAACATATAGCATGAGAGGAATAATAATATTTTAATGTATATAGAAAATTCACTAAGAGAATAAGTGTTACATCCTCTTATTAAAACAACAAAAAGCAAAGTAAAGAGACAATGGCTGTGTTCATTTACTGCATGGCAGTTGTTGTTTCACCCTATTTTTATTTTACCCAAGATCAATTTGCATCCTTTAAATATACATGATAACATTTGCATCCTTTAAATATACACGGTAACATAGAAAACATTACAAAGGCTTAAAATAGTATTCTTCTTATTAAAATATATTATAAATTAAAACCAAATTGAGTTAATTGTTTGTCAATTAAAATATACATTAAAGACATTCAATAGACAATTTTAGTTTCTTTTTTGTTTTTGGTTTTTTTTTTTCCGGTGCCAGGAATTGAACTCACAACCTTGCGCTTGCCATGCAGGTGCTGTGCCACTGACCTAAACCTCCAGCCCCTAATAGACAATTTTAAATAAACACAGGTATATGCAGTAGGAAAACAGACAAAAGAAAACATATCTGGAAAACAAAAAATTAAAATAAATCTAAATCTTTTTTTAAAAGATTTTTTTTAAAAATCTCCAAAATGGATCAACTGTTTGAAATTTTAGAATGTCTGAACAAATATCCCATTGGGTAAATAGCTGCAGCAAATTATAGATAACAAAGAATGTCAGGGGCTGGGGATTTAGCTCAGCGGCAAAGCACCTGCCTGGCAAGCGCAAGGTCGTGAGTTCGGTTCCCAGTGCCGGAGAAAAAACAAAAAACAAACAAACAAAAAAAAAAAACAAAGAATGTCTTCAGTACATTAAGAGTGCTTATAGATTTGAAAGAAACACAACGCTAGCAGATAAAAAGGAAAAGTAAGGGCAATTTATAGAATAAATGTCAACAGTCAACTGATTTACAGTAAATTTTTAAATTCATAGGAAGTGAAAGACATTAAGTATAAAATAAGATACTGCTATTTGCTATTAAGTACAAAATATATTAAAAAAACAAAAAAAATTGAATACTTGATGAAAAGGAAGGATGCATATATAATGCCACTTCATAGCAAATATAGAGACAGACATCATTTATGCACATATATTTAAAAATATATGTAAAATACATAATTATGCATAACCAATATGCTTAATGCATATCCTTTGAACTATTAAAATGTAAAAATCTAGCCATTGTAATGCATTAGTCACTGCGCTATCCAACCAAAGAGAAACTACCCAATAATTTTCTAATATCATATAATATACTATACAAAAGAATATAGCAATTAAATTGGCTTTGCAAGGCCTTTATAAAAAATTGCATGAGAGGCACCAATGGACGGTAAGTAAAAATATACTAAAGTTATTTTAAGCAATTCTTTTCTTTTTTTTTGAGACAGGGCCTCACTGTGTAGTCTGGCTTGTCTTTAATCCATTGTGTAGCCCAGGCTGGGTTCAAACTCTTGGTCACACTCCTACCTCAGCCTCCCAAGTGGAGGCTACCACACCCAGCTAGCAATTCATTCTTAATAAGACATAGTCAATCATTTTAAGCTTTGGAATTATTGCAATTATTTACTTATAACTTAGTGAGCAGTTCTGGGAAAATTACCTCAGATAATCTTTACGTAAAGCCAAATGCTTACATAATGATATTTCTTTAATGCTTTAATTTCTTAGTAAGTTTTGATTCATTGGTGTTATCTCTGAAGTAGACACTCATTAAACTAATTTAAAGTTGATTATAATACAGTTCATAAACACTAATCAATTAATCAAATAAACAATATGATTTAGAAACAAATTAAAAACATTCAATTAGCTGTTTGCTGGAATTATCAAAGCAACTCTTGATACATTTCAACTATTTGGCTGATTGAGGCCTGTGGATATCTAATACTAATGATTAGATGGCTGCTTTGAAAACTTTGAAAGGACAATAAATTTAAGCACTAGGCTGCTAGTGAAATGATTTATCAGAATCTTCTGGCAAAAAGAGAAAAGTTGAATATTATTACCATTATCCTCCTTACTATTGAGTTTAAGTCATCAGGATTAGAATAATTTGGTAAATTCTATGGTGCATGGGTAACATAGTAGGAAAACATAAATACATTTCACAAGATAAGTTGCAATCCACAGTATATTAATTTGAGAGGAAGTGTTTGATGATGGTATGGTCAAGAGGCAATGTTTTTCCAGAACCAGAACTAAATAAGAAAAGCATGTAATATGCTCTGAGCCCTCTACCACTAAATATATTTGGGTTTTTTTTTTTTTGATACCAAGAATCAAACTGAGGGCCATGCACTAGCTAGGCAGGTGCTTACGCTGCTGAGCTATAACCCTAACCCCTAAATATCTTAAAGATGGTAAGTTTTACCTGAGTAAAACACACACACACCTGTAATTCCACTACTCAGAAGCTGAGGCAAAAGGGTCCCAAGTTCCAACATAGCCTAAGCAATTTCGCAAGTTAAGGAGACCCTGTCTCAAAATTATTAAAAACTAATATTGGATTTGGGGTATAGCTCAGTGATAGAGTGTCCCTAGGTTGAATACAAAATAAACAAACAAACAAGCAAAACCCACTGTCGAAATCTGACTTTTGGGGGAAGCATCACAAAAGTGTTATGTATCAGAGTTAATCCCATCCAGTGTGTGATAAACTGACTTCATATTACAGACTATTTAAATTGAGCATTTGGTCAGCATAAATATTCTTGTGTAAGCAGAACCACTGCTTACAGGGCTGTTTTACAAAATGCAACATAGATGATTCCCTGTCTGAACTATCTGATTAATCACTACAGCCAATGAAATATATTAGTCAATTACAATGAACAGAAAAGACACAATGGAGTGCACAATAAAGTCAACAAGTTTCAGGATTAAGTGCTAATTGAAGTTATATCACTGAAAAAGTGAAAACACCTTTCCAATTAAAGACATAGGATTAGTATCAAATTGCAGATGACCAGCACAGCCTTTTGACCAAATCATGGAATTAGATAAAAGACATGAATGTCTTAGGAACAATAAGAAACAGAAGTGGCATCTGCGGGTCTTTTTCCTTCTGTAATTTAATCCAGGTGACTAAACCTTCACGCTAAGTAAATAGCGGCATGACACCTAAGCAATTTTGGGAAAAGAGTCAGAAAGTTTACTCTGTATGCCATGATATTCTTTTTGAAAGAATGCTTATGATTTCATATTTAAGTATATAAAAATGTTAGAAATAAAATACAGAGACAGATTCACACTGGAAAAAAGAATAAAAATATAGGAAATGAAAGCATATTCTAGTTGATCAGAGTATATGGCTATTTTATACAGGAAGAAAAAAATGTCTCTCACATCTATAAAAAAATACCTTCTTAGCTATTATCTGTGATTACTCCTCTGAGGTATGACATTTTAATAACCATCTTGCCAGAAGGTCTGGGGATATATAGGTCACCAAGGTTATTCCTACACATGGCAAGCAAAATCTTTCCATCTGATGAAGAAATCTCCTAAAAAAAAAAGTATCCTTCCTCCTTATTCAGCTCTCATGGACCCAAATAGGCAAAATAAAGATCCTTAATTTTACTACTGGCAAGCAACCTATGCTTCTTTGAAAAGAAATGCAATCTGTTATATAAACCACTTTGAAAAGCCTAGGTTCTTGACACTAAGTCTTTTTCATCCTTATGGGATAAATTCTTCCCTCTCTCTCTTTTTATTTTTAATAATAAATTTCTGCATCACAGCCTTCAGCTCACAGTATGTTGCAGGGCACTGGGTTCCAAGAAAAACAAAAGTGCAGCCAAACACAGAATTGAAAAGTTCACAGGAGCAGCAGCAAAGTCAGCATGGAAACACAAAGGTTGTATCCAAGCAGAGATATTTTTAATGATAGCAAGAGAAATGA